GCTCCACCCGCCGTCTGGCAGGGGGTGAGTCGAGAGCCCCTTTTCGTGCTCTGGTGAAGTACTTGATTGAGTGGAGCCACGCAGCCTACACCCTCTGGGCGGCCTACGCGCAGCAACTGGGAAAGGACATCGTGGGCGATGTAACCGACGAAACTGGATGGCCCTTCGAGCAACTGCTGCCCTTCCTTGATTCAATATACGGAGAGGAGATCCCAAGCAACGGCCATCCCCCATGCATCCCATGGGACAGACAGAGGGCTGCAGCCGCCAGGGTAGTCTCACACTTGGTGGAGCGCAACCCAAAGTACCAGGAGGAATGGGAGAGCTACGCAAGCAACCTCGATAATCAGAAAGGGCAGGGCCCCTCACCGACAGCCGTTGCACGCCCTCACGCTGTTCCTCACAAGGCCGGAGAAGCACCTAACCAGAGGAACGATCGAACTCTTCGCCGCCCAGCCCCAGGATGCGACGACCAGAGGCACGGCAGAGGAAGAGTCTCCTGCCGCCAGCTGGCTCAACAGGCCCCAGGGTAAGGAAGCACCCCCAACCGACCAACGCGCTGGGGATCGCGTCGCCCCCCCCAGACCCGCGCAACCGTTCCACCCCAACAACCCGACGCGCCTGGCCAGCCCGATGGGGCCCCAGAAGAGGTGCCGCCCTCATCAGAGCACTGGAACGGCGACGGCGACGTTGAAGGGATTGACTGGGATGACGATGCCAACAAGAAATCCGAGCGGGACGTCCAGGCACACGGCAGCCCGCCGGATACCTCAGACTCCGGGTCGCAGGCCAGCCCTACACATCAGGAGGACGACGCTGACGGTCCAGCACCCACGCACCGACCGGAAGTCGGCCCAAATCCCCCCCACACTCTGGACCCAGCCCCCCCGCAGGGCCGACTCGAAAGCCTGGCCCCCGCTTGCGCAGGCTACTGATCGAGGGGCACCCAGTGACGCATGGAAGAGGGTCGAAGCCCGCCCCAGAGAGGAACGGACCTGGAGCTTTCACGCAGTCAGTGACGGCAGAAGACTTAGACAATCGGGGAACGAAGCGGACCGCCGACCACCCACAGTCGACGAAGATAGCACCAGAGAGCGCTCAGCCACACCGCCTCGCAGCACACCCAGGCCGTGGCACAACGCCCAGGGCTGGTGGCGCGACGCACGGACCGCAGCAATCCCACCAGCGCGCCCTGATGATCCCATGGGAGGCCTCCCCATGCACTTGCGACCCATCGACGATGCAGACGTCACAAGGGACGAGCCGGCACCAGATACGATCACACGAATGCAGAAGACGCTGGGAGGCGCGTTCAATGGAGCATGGAGCGCCTGGGTCAGAAAGGCAGCCTATCGGCAAGGGGGCGCCTGGGTCAACATCAAGTCCGACTCCAGGCGAAACACGGTACAGCAGTGCGACGGTTTCTTCCAGGCATGGAGCAAATCGGGATACGACGCCTACAGGATGGACAGAGAATACCAGCTCCACGTCGACTGGCCAAGCGTCATGGAGAAGCAGCGCAGATTCACACAGCGCGACCCCAGAGTACGCGCTGCCGACGCGCCCATTGGAAGCAGACGCTCACCCTCATGGGCCGACGAGGGCAAAGGGACTACCAAGACCCCCCCATGGTCCACTGAAGACAGGGCTGCCGCACGGTCAGGTGCATCTGGATCGGCAGCACCCTGGCGCACATGGCAGTCCTGGGACGGGCGGGGCCATCAGCGAGATACATGGACCGACACGGATTGGAAGGCCAAGGGGAAACGCTCCCCCCCCAGAGGTGAAACTCCCTACGCCGACAAGCGTCAGCGGGGATGGGACTTCTGCCCCAAGTGATCGTGGTATTGCCTGGCCGCTGGTGCCGACCCACCTCCCCCCAGTCGGGGGTGTCGGCCCGCCTTGTCTGGGGCTTTTCGCTGTGCGTGACCCCCCGCTTCCCCCCCCACCTGCTCGTCCGCCCCCTCCCTTGCACCCGCGGAGGGTTGCCCGCGCAGCGTGTCCGTGGCTTAAACCTTTATTCCACCTGAACACGTCGATTCTCTTAGTTGCTACTCGGCCCGTCATGGAGCGCAACGCGTGCTTCCTGGGCACTATCGATCTTGGGCAGCTGGGAACAGCCCCCCCCCTTCCTATACAAGGTGGTCTCCGTCGCGCTGACCCTGTGGGCCATATGGGACCCCGCTGCTCTGGGCAGAGCCCGCTGGTTGGCAGCCCCATGGTCTTCAACCGGCCCTTTGCCTCGCACAGCGACGCAGGGATGGGAGACTGAGGAATGCGTGAGGTGTCAGTCCCCCACGGCCCAGCTTCCCTCGTGGTTGCTCCTGACCTTGGTGGGGGCAGGTTTCACCGCAGCGCCAGGCCTTGGCCTTAATACCCCCGTGCTATCTCTCATGGGGCAGAGGTGCACCAATACCCATGCGCTGCGTACTAGACAGCCCACGCTGGTCTCGTGGTTCCATCCTGGACAGTGGGACGGTGGCTGAAATAATCCACCCCCCGTGCTCCCCCTTAGACCTGATTCCCACGGGACATGGGTCCGCCTAGGCCCCCCCCTCCGGGGCTCCTACTTTGGATGATTGGGAACGTTGGCCAGAGGCCCACCCCGCGCGCTCCACCTTACTCTACCACTCAGCATTTTGTGCGACTCTTGCTGCGCCCCCGTCCAAGTGTGCCCCGCCTGGGCACGCTGCAATGTGACGGACCATCCCAGTTCGGTGGCCTTGGTCACGTCCGACGTGTCACCTCTCGCGGTAACACCTCACGCGCATCTTCCAAGCGGGGCTGCTCTGGGCAACTGGCAGCGCAGCCCCCCGCCGAGGTCTGGCGCGTTGTCCCCCCCGCGGTCGCTGAGGACCCTCCACAGGGAGCGGGGGAGGGATCACAGAGGCCCTTTGCCCACACAGCTTCGACATTGGCGTTGCTTCTCCCTCCTCCTCCGTCTATTCACCGGATTGTGCGGCCATCGGCTGCGTCTCCCCTCTTTCTCCTCCTCTACTGCTGATACGGCGCACAGTGCCGCGTGAACCCCCCCTACCGACCCGCTCCACCGGAGCACTCGGGCACCCATGGACTTCTGGAGGCCCACTCGCAGGGCTCCGAGGTGCGCTCGGACAGCGCGGCTGCCATGTGTTGAACTGGGCAGCCACGGACTGCGGCAGTCTGTCCCCGCGCGCACGGCCTCCTCCAGCCCCTGGAACGGGCGCGCTTCGCCCGCGTGGTCTGGGCTGGGAGCGGGTCGCGGCGCTTCTGGGGCTGGGCTGCGACATGGCGCAGCCCGGCGCGCCGCCCCGCTCAGACACCACCTGGGGCTGGACCTGTGGTGAGCGCTGTCTTGACAAGTGGTTCATCCTTTGACAGGTCGCCGTTGTTCCCCCATCTGGTCCGCCCCTGCTACCACGGTTGACGCTCGCATCTTTGTGCCCCCGTCCTTGTGACGGATAAGCTGCCCGCGTTGTTCGCCGACGACTTGGTTGTCGCGCTTCCCACGGCGTGCGCCGCCTTCGAGCTCTTGATACTGCACAAGTGGTTCATCCTTTGGCAGTGCCGGCCCTCCCGCTGGGCGGTCCGCGGTGCTCGACCAGCGCTTGCAGCTGATTCCCCCCGGCTTTCTGAGTCAGGCAGTTGCAGTTTGTGGACTCGGATGACAGGGCCGACGGCCCTTGCATAGGTCGGTCGCTCATGCCCGTGTACTTCCAGGAGCCCATGTGTGTGAGGCGTTCCTCGGTCCCCCGCTCTTCCGTCCTCGCGCGCCCTCGCCCCTGCCGCCTTTCCCCACGCCTTCGCCTCCTAGTCTTGATGGACGGAACGGCCTCACTAGCCCCTCCGTGCTGCCACAGCGCGGCGTGTCCCACGCGTTGGTCGGTACGGATTGAGCTGGCGCCACTGTGCGACTGCTCCTCCGTCCGTTTTGATGCCTGCGTCCCCGCTTCCGGGTCGCCTGCATCTTAATGGGGGGCATTTTGTCCCTGGCACGTGCACTAGCTGCGTTGGCCTATGCGCCGTCGCCGCTAATTATCTCGCCCTGTGCCCCAGCCGAGAGCGTCCCGCTTCCTGGAGCCGTCCTTGAAGCCGCCAATCAAAAAGTATCCCCACCAGCCTTTTGAGCTTTGGACGGCGCGCGGCCCTTCCGTTTGCGCTCGCGAACAAAAAAGTATACCCACCAATTCATCCAGAATTAATCGCTGGAAGGAAGAACAACGGACAAGGACAAGGTGGATGGTGAGGCGACCGTTGCTATTTTGCTGTTGTGAGGCCTCTTGGCGTCCCCGTGGGGTCCGTTGTATTTTTTGGAGAGATCGTGGAGGCCTCTTGGGATAGTTTTGGAAACCACGACTCAAAAAAAGAGGGCGGCTGTAATTCGACCTCCACCTGGGAGGCCGACAAACTGCGTCTGAGGGCCGGGCGCCTCTGTGAATTTCTTGGGACTGCCTTGGAGTCATCTTGAGCCCTCTTGGAGTTCGCATGGGCCGTCTTGGAACCATCTTGAGGCCTCAGAGGCCCATCGAAAGCCCACAGGCCAGAAAGCAACACCATTGATTATCCGAAGGTGTTTGAAGGACTTAGGCTTCTTGGAGGGTGCCTTCGAAATCTTGAAATGGCACTTGGAATCGTCAATGGAGGGGTTCGTCGCCAACGTCGCACGGATATGTTAGGGGTTGGGTCCCTCGCCAGGCTAATTTTGATTCCGCCTTGCATGAGTCCTTGCCGGCGCGGCAGTGTGCCATCCAAGAGTGGTGTTGCTCGCAGTGGGATCCTTGTAGCTCGGGCGTCTCGGCGGCGCTTCGTGTGCAGAGCGAGCTGTCCATGATTGCCAGCGTGGTCTGCGAAGCGGCACCTTCTCATGTTTGTTCCCTCCCCATATCCGTCTTCCCCTCCTTCCTTCCCTACATACTTGGGCTGAGACAGTTGCGGCTCTCCGCTCCTTCCGGGCCGCGCCTTTTTCTCTTCATTCCGAGAGCAGCCCGCGGCCCAGGGAACAAAAAGCCACGAAGGTCACAATGGTCAAGAGGCCGTCATTTGTGGGGAACGTGGTGTCCGAGAACGCTGGGGCCGTTGGCGACACAGGCGAAACGGTGATCCCGCTGACGAAGTTGAAGGCGTCGGAGGCGTTCGACAGTGCGCTGGTGATGGAGCTGACGGCGGGCACACAATTCGAGGTCGTGGAGGTAGGGGAGGCGCCAAACCGCATCAGGGTGACCACTCCCGCTGGGCATGCCGGCTGGATCAGCAAGGCCACAGAGCAGGGCAAGCCGATCGTGAAGTGGGTCCGCAAGAGACACACCAGCTTTTCCAAGGACAACGGCATGGAGCGGAAGACCAGCGGTGACCACGCCACCAAGAGCGTCAGCGGCGACATGCCGACGAAGGACGGGCTGGTTGTGGGAGATGTCTGCGAGACTGTCATTCAGGGCATGACCCTTCGCGAAAGCGAGGACTTCAGGAGCGCCGCTCTCGGGCAAATCCCAGAAGGCACGCAGTTCGAGGTCGTGAGTACTGCACCTGCGAACAGGGTGAAGGTGATCGTGCCGAGCTCAGTCCTGGAAGGTGGGGCCGTGGGCTGGATCAGCTCCCACACGGATGCCGGCAAGAAGCTGGTCAAGGTGATCAAGTCGGGGCCGGGCAAGAAAAGGAAAAGCTTCAACCTCGCCGGGAGCTTGTCCATCCCGCTGGGCCAGGGACAACAGAAGGCCACGGTGGAGGCTAGGGGGGAGAGTTTTAACATCACGCAAGCATTATCATTATTTGTCTCCTGCTCCTCCTGCTCATCCTGCTTTTTCTTTTCTTCCATACTCGCGCTGTCAAGCCCTCGCGCTGTGAAGTTCCCCAGATCAGGCGGTGCCCCCTGGCATGAGGCTTTCTCTGTTGCCCGTGCGCGAATCCCGGACGACGCCCGACGCCCACCCGGCTTCCGTGGAGAAGGCGTTCTTGGAGGAGCCAGGCCGGTCGGAGACGCAGGAGTCCCCGGATGCTACGGAGCGGGGGGGCTTTGAAAATCACAGGGTGCACATGTAACATGTAGTGTTGCTATGGGGGACCTTCATGCGAAGACCAGCGGAATCTACCTCGCTGGCTTGGACACGCGCGAGCTTTGCCCCTGCCCGTTCCTCATTGTCTTCCTCCTCCTCAACCTGCTCCTCCTCCTCCTCCCGGACTGTTGTCTCAGGTGCTTCTGTCAGCGTGTGGCCGCTTTGTTGCCTGCGTGCTCTGGCTCCCGATTCGCCACAGGACACCGCGAAGCTGTGTGTGGCAGTCAGCGGGGGCGTATGCATAGCTGTGCTCTTGCATTGGCTCCTCCTCCTCCTCCTCCTCCTCCTCCTCCTGTCCTCCTCCTCGTCCTCCCCCTCGGAGCGAGTGGTGGGGGGCAGACGATGGAACGTGTGGACCCCTCAGTAGCGACCCCCGTCTCCGTCGTTGTGGTTGGAGAGATGTCCACCTGGTTTCCGCCGCCGCCGCCCCAGACAGGCTCCCGTGGGGATCTCGTGAGGAAAGGGGGGGACCTTCCTGGGTTGGCCCAGACGGTGAACACGGCTGAGCTAACGGCCTTGCACCAGTGGCTGCTGGCCCATGGGGAGCTGCCACTACATCACTGACTCCAGCTGCGTCGTGCGAGTGTCAGGAAGGGGGCCCGTCACCAAATGTTAGATTACGAGCTCCACACCCATAAGGTAAAGAGCCATGCTGATGAGGCCCGTGCTGCAGAACTTGCCATATCAGAGCTGTTTTGCGTTTCGGCAGCGATCACGCTGAAAAGATTGCAGAGATGGCAGCGATGCGCTGCCAGCACGCCGCCGCTGACACGGAGCGCGTCGCCCAGGGAGAGGCCCGGGCCGCACTCCTTCGGCACCGTGTGGATGTGGTGGTGGAGCACGTTGCTGAGGTTGACGCGCGCCTGTGGTTCTATAGGGCACAGACTCCGTCACCCAAGGCCCGTCTTAGAAGACTCCAGCGGGCCCTGCTTCATGTCAGGGCATCGGCTTCATACTTGACTTACCCCAGACATTGGTGTTCCTTCGAATCTCTGCACAAATAGGGTCGACTGGTCCGAAGCTCCACGGAGCATTCAAAATCAAATCTGGTGTAAACATCGATTCTGGAGTGGACCTCCTTCTCGGATGTTAGCCTCGGGCCAGGGCTCGGGAGGAGGAGGAGGAGGACCAGCAGGAGGAGGAGGAGGGGTGAGGGTGCCCGGGGCTCCAGAAGGTTCTTGCGAACAGATCTTGCCAAACATCCACGCGCGAGACCGGCAAATGCCGTTAAAACGGACGTCCGAGCGATGGCGGGATGTTTTCCGTTGGCGCACCAGTCCTTGCAGGAAGGCGCCAGGCGGCCCCATCAGACCCACCATGTCGAGGCCCGTCCTCTTATACTAATGTCCAATTACACAGGCTTTGGAATGGTGGAGACCAGGTTTGCCCAGAAGCGTGAGCTCCTTGGCAAAGCTGGCCGCCAGAGCCTGGATGAGACTGCTCGTGGGGCCTGGCCCCCCCCCGCGGCAGCTACGAAGGCATGTACAGCCGCGCGTGGGCTGCTCAGGCGGAGGCGCCCGCGAGGTGCACGGTTTCGGCAGCCCTTGGGCGTGCGGGTGAGCTGAGCACCCGCGCCCAGGACCTGCCCCCTTCGTCTGTCGTCCCGTCATTGTCGTCGTGTCGTTGTCGTTGTCGTTGGTCATTGGCCCCTCTCTCTGCGGCTGCGCGCGCTCCTCGTCCTCCACCTCGCCTTTTCTTCGGTGTTGTGTGTATGCAGTATTGTCGGCAGTTTGGTTTTGTTGGGCGGTATGTTAGCATGCGGCACTTTCGCTTCCTCTTTCAGGACAAGGTTCACTGCATGAGTGTGCCTATTGCAGGCCCTGCGGCTGCGCGCGGGCTTGGGAAATATTTGCATGCGACTTGTTCGCTTCCTCTTTCAGGCCAAGGTTCACTGCATGAGTGTGCCTATCGCAGGTCGGCACGTACGAGATTCCTAGTTTGCCTGATGGCATCTGGATTCGCACAGCGGGGAGCTAATCTACTCATCTCGCTGATTGGTCTTGTGTGCAGCTTTCGCTACGTTGTTTTTACTTTGGCTCGCGCAGTCGTGTGGCGGTACCCTTGGCTCAAGCATGTACATTTAGAGAGATACGTCAGCATATCTAGGTATTTTCTACACATGTGTATATCTCTCTCCATATGTACACAAACCTCTATATGTGTATATATGTATGTGCTATGACCATCGGGGGCTTTATTCGTGCAACCTTAAACTAGTGCAACTAGTGCTGGCAATGCTAGAATAGAACAACCAAACTAACATCACCACAACACGGCCTGCTGCCAGGGAGGTTGGTTCCAGAGCAACAGGGCCCAAGCCAGTCCCAAGATGCCCCGAAGTGACCCCCGAGACGACCAAGATGGTCCAAAGACGGCCCAAGATGGCCGCAAGGCTGGGCAGCGGTCTCCCTCGGCGGCCCACTGGGGCCCACAGAGACCGAACGCGCCCCGAAGAGACGAGCGTCACACATTGTCCCTAGGCTTTTGCACGACGTTGGGCACTCGCCTTCCTAGTCTTCAGAACCTCACCGACGCCCAAAAGAGCCCAAAGGTCGCCCCCCATGCGTCCTGCACTGGGGTATTTCCACTCGTCTCCAGCCATGCAAAGCGCGTCCATTTCGCAGTGGTTGAGCGCATACGCACATGATCGAAAACGCCTGCGGCGGGTCACTGCCGCCCCTGCCTTTTGGAAACGCCTGTGTCGTGAAATGTCGAGCAGGAGTGCGGCCACATTAGTGGACTGCATGGTCTCCGCAGCCGCTTGCGAAGCCGCTGGGGGACACTTGGGAAGGCTTCGTTCATGCTGTCTTGAGGCTCTCTCGGTGCTCTTCGCGAGCCTTCCGAGGACTTCTCGACGCGGAGTCGGCGGAACGGGCCAAGAGCCAACAGGCATTTTATGGACGCGCCCAAAAGTATTATCTGCCTCGGCGGGGTCCGATCATTTACCCTCAGTTTTCCCACTTCCCCCGAACAAATCATGCCTCGGCGCGACAAGCACCCCTTTAGCAAGCACTGGGGTCGGCGGATCTGGTGGCTCTCGGTGCATCCCGCCAGTGTGCCCGAGGCTCAGTGGGCAACGACAGGGGGTGGGGATAGGCATAGGGGGGACGCATCGACCCCAATTGATCGCCGATAGGGGTCCGATAGCCCCAACCTTCCCAGGAACGTTGGGACTCACTATCCTGGGCCTGTCGCCGATCGATCGGCGATATATCGCCAATTCCAGTTCGATGTGTCCCCCCCCCTATGCCAGTCCCCTCCCCTACCGTTGCCCCTCAGAGTTTTGAACTATATGCATCCTGGATGCCCTTGGAGACTTGAACTAGAAGATCACATAACCCCGAGGGAAGGCCTGCCTGGGTCCACACCAAGAGGGCCCTTCCCTTAGGCCTGCTTTCCAGGCCTGCTTCATGCCCTTGACCTTGGCCTACTCTTGGCCTACCCCTATGCCCATCCCGAGTCCATATTGCTACATACCCCCAGACTCCACCGCAGCGGCCTGATGGCCACTCAAACAGGGCCATCCCATCCTGACCGTAAAAAAAGAAATGCGAGGTTCAACACGACCACCCGGCCGTCCATTTTGCAAACTGCGCGGCAGGAATGGGGACGGGCGCACACCCCGCGGGAAAGGCCGAACTGTCGCTCTCGCCTTGGCGCCGCGTTCGTGTTCTGGAGAGTGGAGCTTCCGCCTCGGGCGCGATGCTTTTTCGCAATCGTTTTCGTCGACGCGCGAGTCGCTCTCGCCTCGGTGCCGCGCCGATTCAGCTTGAGAGTGGCGCTCCCGGCCCGGGGCGGCGCATATCTGTCACTCGCATTGTTTTTTGTGTTAGGGGGGGGCGCTCGAGCGGGCGACTTGCTGTGTCAGCGCGGCGCATGCTTCGTCTTCGCCGCGCCAGTTGCTCGGCTCCCGCCACTGCGCGGCCCGCGTGGTCTCCTCTCCGCCAAGTCGTCGGAAGCGAGACCGCGCTCGTTTGCGACGTGGGAGCGCGCTCCAAACTCAACACCAAGTTGTACCACAATTGATTATTATGTGGTGGAAGGGAGGTGGAAGTAGGTTGGGCCCTCTAACTCGCTCGACCTGGCAGAGTTGACCGTAGGCATACCCCCTAGGCCCTTCCCTGGTACCTACCCTCGGCTTTCCCCCGGGCCTTCCACCTTGGCCTACCCATCGGTCGTTGAAAGTTAGATATTTTGTGGATTCCCATATTCTAGCCTACTTCATGCGCCTTCCTACTTCAATGACCGAGTGGCTTCACCCTTTCCGTCCTCCCAAGGGGGCGGACGGAACCCAATCTACTTTCAACGCGTTCCTACTTCATGTTTCGACATACTTCTTCCGACCAATGGGTAGTCTAGGCCTACCCCACAGGCCTACCCTCGGCCATTTCCTGATGCCCCTCCCCCCATGCCTACCCAAGGCCTGGCCCTAAACCTTGGATAAGGCCCACCCTAAGCAAACCTTGCGGCCTTCAACAGGCCCCCAGGTAGCTCAGCCCCCGTGGTCTACACCCTCTTAAGATGCTCTGGGGGGCGTCTTGGCGGGCCCCCTGGGGGCCTGATGGTCGTCTCGGGGGCCATCTTGCGGCAGAGCGTTCCATCTGGCAGTTCGAATTCCTCCTCGGAGGTTGTCTCTCGGGAGCTTCTTGATCCCTTCTCCTCAGATGCCTCGGAGGCCCTCTTGGGCAGGTCTTGGGGGCCGGCTCGGGCGTTCTGAAGGCAATGCGCAGGCCATACGAAAGTCACACTGCAGCGCAGCAGGTGTGGTGAGTTTGGCCTCTTCAGCAGATGGGCCTCTAAGGCGACTCAAGAGGCCCCCAGTCGACTAGACGTAAGAGTGACCTTTCGCCAGAGTGACTTTTGGTGCGGGCTCGGATGGTCCCTCAGATGGCTGAAAACGAAGCGGTAGTAGTGGCTTGCGCGCCCAGGTTTGGTCTCCCCGCGGCCCCCCAAAAGCCGCCAGGGTCGCTCTTACCCAGGGTCGCTCTTGCGTGTAGCCGACCCAGGAGAGCCCCAGAACGGTCCCACAGGGGCCACCTCAAGGCACGCTGGAACTGTGGACTCTCGGCCACGCTTCGGCGGCCTGCTGCAAAGTCGCGCGACGCAGCCTGGGAGCGCCCAGCGACGCCCGCCTGGGGGCCCTCGAGGGGGCCTGAGGGCATTCCGCGTTCCTCGCGGCACCGTCGAAGAGCGATGTGGACCCCAGGATCCATACATCAAGGGCGCCCTCGAGGGCGCGAAGTTATTCGCGCTTCGCGCTCGCGGTTCGGCTCCGATTCCGCCTCATCCTCCTCTTCTCTCTTCTCCCCTGGGAGGCGGCGCGAGAGCGCGAAGTTGGGAGCCTTTGATGCATGTGTGAGGCGCCCCCTCATCAAGCCGGAGGGGCGTACACCATCTTGGGCCCAGGCGCGGTGATGGCGAACAGTCTGCGCCCCCCCCTTCCCCCGAAGGAGAGCGTCGAGGTCCGGGATGCCAAGGCCAGGGCCCGGGCGCAGAAGGCCGGGGAGATGCGCCGGCGGGCGTCGGCAGCACGAGCGCCCCGGGCCGTGAGCCAGCCGACGTGGTGGGCCCGCCTGGCCTGCTGCAGCGGGTGAGCTCTCCGCGCACCTGCCGCGCCTTGTCGTCCCCTTCCCCACTTCTCCTCCTCCTCCTCCTCCACCTCCTCCTCCTCCTCCTCCTCCTCCTCCTCCTCGCTCCTCCTCCTCCTCCTCCTCCTCCTCCTCCTCCTCCTCCTCCTCCTCTCTCTCCTCCTCCTCCTCCTCCTCCTCCTCTCCTCGCTCCTCCTCTTCCTCCTCCCTCCTCCTCCTCCTCCTCTCCTCCTCCTCCTCCTCCTCCCCCCTTTTCCTCCTCTTCCTCCTCCTCCTCCTTCTCCTCCTTCTCCTCCTCCTCCCGGCCCGAGGGCGCCGCGGGCAGCGCGGGCAGCCCGATGAGACCATCAGATCGCATGATCATGTTCGCCTGCGTGGACCCCAAGCAGTGGTCTCGTGCACCGTCGATTTGCAATCCAGGCGTTAGAAGTTGTGTCGTCCGTTCTGTGTGTTGTGCGATCTGTGTGTTGGAAGCCACGTCCCAGAGAGCCATGCAGGGGAAACAGCTGTGCAATCACAGCTTGGTAGCTCTTTGGTTCCATCGGGCAAAAGCCTCTAAGAGAAGAGCAAGCGCTGCTTGGGGCGTCAGACTTCGGACCTCTGTGGGCGGCAGATTCCCGCCAGCGCCAGAAGTCTTCTCCACTCCCCGAGGCGGCACCGACGAAGGCGCCCCCCTCAGGGCGATTCTCGCTTGAAGAAGTGGCTCGCCGAGGTGGTCCTCTGTCGGATGATGTTGAGCCCACACGGAGTAGGGAGAGCTCGGTCCCCGTCCTTGTTTTCTCCGTCCAGAGGGTGCTAAGTCAGCGCGGGGTACGTCCGCACGGAGTGTCGGACGGGGCTACAGTGGAAACACATGCAAAGAAATACCCTGTTTGCCTCCAGGGTGCCCCGGGTTTCTTGGGTTTCGATGGTTTTGTCATGCAAAACCTGAAGCTCCCACACCGAAAAACCATGGACGCCCTGGGGTCTCAGGGCGGGGTTTCCTGTGGAAGGGTTCCTGTGGATGGGCCTCCACTGTGTTCCCCCTTCTCTTCCTCCTCCCTCTCCTTCTCCTCCTCTTCCTCCTCCTCCTCCTCCTGCTCCTCCACCTCCTCCTCCTTCTCCTCCTCCTCTTTCTTCTCTTCTTCCTCCTCCTCCTCCTTCTCCTCCTTTTCCTCCTCCTCCTCCTCCTCCTCCTCCTCCTCCTCCTGCGCCCGACCCGCGGCCATCCTGGCTCGGGCCCTCGCGGCTCGCCCTGGCTTCGTCTTCGAGTGCTTGGCCTTCGTTCGGGCCCCCTCTGCCCGGACTTCGAGCCCCTGCCGCCTCCGCTGGCGCGAGCAGAGGCCCGCCGCGCCCGGAGCCTTTTGCTGGAGTGCTCCTACGCCACCCTCCCTCCAGTGCTCCTCTGGGCCTTCTGAAAAGGGTCGGAGTAGATGGGGTCGGAGGATCGCGCCGCATCGCCGATGCATCGCCGATGCGGCTCGATGTGCAGCCCGGCTTTCGTCACGGCGACGTCGCCGATGCATCGCCAACGTCGACGATGCATCGCCGGTGCATCGCCGATGCATCGCCGATGCATCGACGATGTATCGCCGGTGTATCGGCGATGCGGCGCGATCCTCCGACCCCATCTACTCCGATCCCATCTAGGAGGCCTCTGGCTCCCTCGCTCGGGTAAGAATCAAACAATGGCGAAGCGTCCCGGCGTGCCTATAGTCCTACCAAACCATGTTCTAAGAACCTTTTGTGGTTCCCGCGAAATGTTCTTAGAACATTTTTTGTTGGGACTGTCTTGTTTTATCGGAGGTGGACAGACCTCCTACCCTGACACGTCGTTCAAGGAATTGGCCGTTTTCGGTTCGCGAGAGGTTGTCGCGGCCGTCATTTTTGCGGATCCAGGTCCGTCGACTTCGGCCCTAGGTCGTTTTCACTAAGGGGAGGTTTACTAAAGGGAGGTTTGTCCACCGCCGAAAACAGCGGCAGAAGCACACATGGACAAACGAACAGCGCACTCCCAGACCCACAGAAGCACACATGTTGGCAAACGACCCCCCTGGCGGCGCCCCCGGCGCCCGGCGCGCTCCGCGCGCCAGGGGGCGGGGTCCACTGCCGATCCGAGAAATCCGCGCGGACCTCCGAGTGTCTCTGTTTATGCCGTTCCTCGTTCTCCCAGAACTCAGAGCGTGAATTGCCTACCCCGCTTTCGCTTCCAGGCAAAACCAAGTCATACCATACGCTTCCTCGTCAGGCGGCCTGACCAGTACATGCCGTAGTCTGGCATCGCTTGGTATCTCTTGGAAGCGAGGGTGGTCGAAAGCGAGGTAGGTTTGTTTGCCCCCTGAGAGCAGCACGCGCCCATAGCCACAGGAGGGTCGGGGGGAGGAGGGCTTGCTATGGGCATGGGTGCGGGTGGTCGGGCCCTGTGGGGGGCTCCCGCTCGAGCGGGGGGCCCCCGTCCGACAACACGCACCCATAGCCCCCATCCGTCACACCTGCGCTATGGATGCGTGCTGCTCGTTCGCAATAGTGCAGGATGACGGTGAATGGGAGATGAAGTAGACGATCCAAAATATTGTTTCTTTGATTTCTGTGTGACTGCTCAACGGGAGGAGGACGATGAACAATTATGTCTATAACACGTCGGCTTCGAATATTGCGTCGAATACTCATTCACGTCGTCGTCGAATATTCATCTTGCGTCGAATACTCATTCCCTCCGGGGCGCCGCCGACCCAACGCGACCCCCGGTCATTTATTAATCGTAATCCTACATAAAACATGTCGTAGCTCCCCGCGGATTTCTGGGATCGGCGCTGGGCCCTTCTGGCGGCGCATCCAGTGCAAGCCAGACAGGGGCTTGCAGCGCTGATCCAAAAAATCCGTGCGGACCTCTAACAGTTCATGTCTGTATCTGTGTTGCTCCTCTTCCTGACGTTTGCACGTCGTCCGACTGGCGCTGCCGCTGGCAGACTCTGTATCGTGTCAGGGCACCTCGCGAGCCACATGTCCTACGCTCATCGTCTCATGTCTGCGCGCTTTCAGGCAGCCGATCTTTCTGCCCCTCTGTGCTCTTCCTCCTTTCCGCGGCTTGCCTTGCGGAATTCCTTCTTGCCACCGCCAGCCTCTTTGTGGACTTAGCATGCGCTGAATTCCCTGGCCTTGGCCACGCACGTTCGGCTGGGTTGCCGAAGCATTCGCTTCAGCAGCGGCACGGCTCCAGCGCGGCGTGTTTTGAAGTTCAAACTTTTTGTGCAGGATGTGCCAGACGGGACCTGTGTGCTGCACGCCTCACTGGGTAGGTCTTGCACCCCCGGGGGCGTCCACAGGAGTAGTAATGCCCACCGGCGATGGCACATTCTCCTACAGCGAAGGTCCATGCCAAGAAACACCCTGCTTGCCTCCAGGGTGCCCTGAGTTTCTTGGGTGTCGATGGTTTTGCGATTGGACGTGTGACGTTCCCACAACCAAAAGATTCATGGACGCCCCGGGGTCTCAGGGTTCGGTTTCTCGCGGAAGGTTTCTTGTGGACTGGCTTCCACTGTGTGCCCCCTTTCTCCATCTCCTCCTCCTCCTCCTTTTCCTTCTCCTCCTTCTCCTTCTCCTTCTCCTTTTCCTTCTCTTCTCCCTCTCCTTCTCCTTCTCCTTCTCTTTCCTCCCTTGTGTTCCTCCTCCCTCTCCTTCTCCTCCTCCTCCTCCCTCTCCTCCTCCCTCTCCTCCTCCTCCTCCTCCTCCTCCTCCTCCTCCTCCTCCTCCTCCTGAGCCCGACCCGCGGCCATCCTCGCCCGGGCCCTCGTGGCTCTCCGCTCCGTCCGAGCCGCGCTGTTCTCCAGGCCCCGAGGGCAGCCCGCGGCCGCAGGAGCACGGAGGCCACGGAGGCCACGTATCCGAGGAGGAGGAGATGCCGAGATGCCCTCTCCAGGCTCGACCCGCAGAGTAAGGATGGCCATCCCCCCAAGGGTGCCCTTTGCATCCTTGCTTCCTGGGTTCATCCTTGGGCACGTTCGTTGGCCGCGCCCCGCTCGAAAAGCTTCGAGATGGGCGTCCAAGGCCCTCGCATCCTTATCGCGCATCCTTACTCTGAAGGGTGACTGTACCCTCGAGTCGGGCCTGTCCCTCTACAGGCCAGACCTAGCTCTACCCTTCTCCTCGTTCTCCCTTTTTTTTGTTGGGGGGCCGCCTCGGAGGTCCTCGTCGCCACCGCTGGCTTCGCCCTGAAGCCCCCGCGACGGTTTAGATGCCGTCCGCGCAGCGGCACCTCCGCACGCCTTAGTCGCCTCGATCCGCCCGCCTTGAAACGCAACACGTCCCGTGTTCCAGACGTCCGTGTCAATACGTTGCGTGGTGGCCCCACGTATTGGACCACGCTTTGGCGAGTGCAACGCGTCGGACCTACGTTTTCGGCCTGCGTGTTGAGCTCCGTGTCAATACGATGCGCGCTGCGCGTGGCGCATCGGGGCAGCCGAGCCTCACGCCCCTCCGCCTCCGCCTCCGCCGCGCACTCGGGCCGAGGCCGCCGCGGCTCTCCGCGCCTGCCCGGGCGCCGCCTCGTCGGATCCCGAGAGCAGCACGGCGCCCAGGGAGCAAGGGACCAAGAATCGGGAGGGGGAAACACACACAGACACAGTTTCTCGTCGACCCCCCAGAAAGTATGGGAAGATCTGGGAAGTGGGGGGGGGGGGAGACAAAAAAAAACAGAAAGTGTGGGGGATCTTCTTGGTTGTGCGTGTGTTTATTTGTGAGTCCCAGGGCCCCTTCAAAGACTGTCACAACGGCCGGGAGGCCGTCATTCCTGGGGAACGTGGTGTCCGAAAACGCCGGTCCCGCTGACGTAGTTGACGACGTCAGAGGCGTTCGACAGTGCGTTGGTGATGGAGCTCACGGCGGACACGCAGGTGGAGGTCGTGAAGGCGGAGGATCCGGTACAGCCAGGACCCCAGGTAAGGGGACCCGGTTAGTAGTAGGGCCCCGGAGCCCCTACATTGGCCAGAATCACTGAACTAGGTCTGCCGTAGTTGGTATTGTTTCGG